CATTCATTCATTCATTCTAGAATTACAGAATCCTAAGCCTGCAAAAGGGACTTTGGAGGTCTTCTAGTCCAACCCCCTGCTCCAGCAGGAGACCCTATAACCATCCCAGAGAAAAGATCCTCCAATCTCTTCACCAAAACCTCCAGTGATGGAGCACCCACAACTTCTGAAGGCCAGGAGTTCCACCCTCAGGAAATTCCTCCTTCATTCTAGGCTGGAGGCTCTCTTGAATGGTCTTGAATGGTCTTCCGTTCTGTTTTCTTTCTTTCTTGGTTTTCCCTCGTCCCCTGTTGAAACGGGCCCATTTGTGTGTTCTAATTTTGTTTTATTTTATTTTATTTTATTATTTTTTATTTTATTTTATTTTATTTTATTTTATTTTATTTTTTTATTTATTTTATTTTATATTTTATTATTTTATTTTATTTTATTATTTTAATTTATTTATTTTATTATTTTATTATTTTATTTTATTTTGTTATTTTATTTTATTATTTTAATGTATTTATTTTATTTTATTTTATTTATTTTATTTTATATTTTATTATTTTATTTTATTATTTTATTTTATTCTATTATTTTATTTTATTTATTTTATATTTTATTTTATTTTATTTATTTTATTTTATATTTTTTATTTTATTTTATTATTTTATTTTATTATTTCATTATTTTTTATTTTATTTTATTTTTTATTTTATTTTATTATTTTATTTATTTTATATTTTATTATTTTATTATTTTATTTTTTATTTTATTTTATTTTATTATTTTATTTTATTTATTTTATTTTATTTTATTTTGTTATTATTTTATTTTATTATTTTAATTTATTTATTTTATTTTATTTATTTTATTTTATTATTTTATTTTATTTTGTTATTATTTTATTTTATTATTTTAATTTATTTATTTTATTTTATTTATTTTATTTTATTATTTTATTTTATTTTGTTATTATTTTATTTTATTATTTTAATTTATTTATTTTATTTTATTTATTTTATTTTATATTTTATTATTTTATTTTATTTATTTTATTATTTTATTTTATTTATTTTATATTTATTTTATTTTATTTTATTTTATTTTATTTTATTTTATTTTATTTTATTTTATTTTATTTTATTTTATTTTATTTTATTTTATGGCTCCGGCAAATTGTCCCAAGCGGCCGTCTGCTTGAAGCAGCAGCCCAGGGCCGAGGCCAGATCGTCCGGCAGGGGTCCTTCACCACGAAGGCCAGGGACCCTGGGGGGGGGGGAAACAAAGAGACCCAGAACCCAACACTTTCAACCGGCACAAAGAAGAGTTTATTCCATTGGAAGCGATTGAGGTCACCAGTGGTTAATACATCACAGTATTTATTGGCTTCCCTCTGTTTCTATTATTTATTTATTTTAAACTCGGCTGGTTATTGACCCAATAAATACTCTTAATTGATTGGAAGGCATTTCTGTTTCTTTGTTCGTATCCTGCCTTTACAGCCAGTCCTCAGCTTACGACGATTCATTTAAGGACCGCTTGAGGTTACAGCGGCACTGAAAAAAGTGACTTATGACCATTTTTCACACTTACGACCATTGCGGCATTTCCCTCCCCCCCCCATGGTCATGTGATCCAAATTCAGACGCTCGGCATCTGACTCATATTTATGACGGTCGCAGGGTCCCGGGGTCAGGCGATCCCCTTTTGCCACCTTCTGACAAGCCAAGTCAAGGGGGGGGGAGCTGGATTCGCTTAACGACCGTTTGACTAACTTAACAACTGAGTGATTCTCTGAACAAACATAGCAAAAAGTGATCCTTTGAGAGTTGAATGCAATGAAATTTCGTCTTGATGTATGCCGATTAGTGTATATTCAAAGTGACAATAAAGTTTCTATTCTATTCTATTCTATTCTATTTTCTATTCTACTCTATTCTTTATTTTAATTCTATTCTATTCTATTCTATATTTTGTTCTATTCTATATTCTGTTCTATTCTACTCTATTCTATTCCTTATTTTAATTCTATTCTATTCTATTCCTTATTTTAATTCTATTCTATTCTATTCTATTCTATTTTATTCTACTATTCCTTATTTTAATTCTATTCTATATTCTGTTCTATTCTATTCTATTCCATTCTATCCTATTTATTCTATTCTATTCCTTATTTTAATTCTATTCTATACTATTCTATATTCTGTTCTATTCTATATTCTGTTCTATTCTACTCTATTCTATTCCTTACTTTAATTCTATTCTATTCTATTATATCCTATCCTATCCTATCCTATCCTATCCTATCCTATCCTATCCTATCCTATTCTTTTTATTCTATTCTATTTTATTCTATTCTATTCCTTATTTTAATTCTATTCTATTCTATTCTGTTCTATTTTATTCCATGTAGGTCATAAAAGGGGCAAAACTCACTTACTGACTTGGCTGACAATGGAAATTTGGGGGTGCATTTTCATCATAAGGCGGGGACTACCTGCATTATTTTTACAAATAACTCAAGATGGCCAACCTCTCCTAACCAACTTCCTCCCACTCCTATTTTTCCCACAGCCACAACCTTGTGCTGCCCAAATCAAATAATTTGACTTTGGGGAGCCTAGGAAAAGGGTTTTAAATTTTTAAAGGGAGGTCAGGGGACCCGAGACCCCCTTAGGAACCAAAACAAGGGGCCCCTCCCCTGCCTCTATTATATAATAATAATAATAATAATAATAGTAGTAGTAGTAGTAGTAGTAGTAGTAGTAGTAGTAGTAGTAGTAGTAGTAAAGTTGGAAGGGACCTTGGAGGTCATCTAGTCCAACCCCCTGCTCAGGCAGGAAACCCTGTACCATTTCATTTCTGACTTCGCTCCGTTTCGAGAACTGGGGATACAGTTTCCTTTGGAGAAAAATCTTCGAGTTTTGGGTTCTGCATGTTGATCACCCACTTCACATTCAGCGGGATAGGGGGGCCTGGGGTTGGGGGGGATGTTTGCCCCTCTTCTTGTTCCCTCTGCAAAAGGGGATAGCAGATAGACTGCCTCCGGATAGGGAGGTTTTATTGATGATCAGGGGGCCTACAGCTAAGAAGGGGGTGCCCCAACCTTTTTTTCTCTTGGTAAAGGGGACATGCCTGAGCAGGGGGTTGGACTAGATGATCTCCAAGGTCCCTTCCAACTTTATTATTATTATTAACAGCCTGCCTCCAGAAGCAGTAAATGCTCCGAACACTGGAAGTTTTTAAAAAGAAACTGGACAGCCATTTGTCCGAAATGGTGTAGGGTTTCCTGCCTGAGCAGGGGGTTGCACTAGATGATCTCTAATGTCCCTTGCAACTACTACTACTACTACTACTACTACTACTACTACTACTACTACTACTTTTTGAGATGGTATAGGGCAGTGGTTCTCAGCCTGTGGGTCGGGACCCCATTTGGGGTCGAACAACCATTTCACGGGGGTCGCCAAACAAGGCTGTCCGCCATTTTTTCCCCCTTTTCTTGGCCACGCCCCTGGCATCCAGAGCCAAGGTGGCGCAGCAGTTAGAGTGCAGTACTGCAGGCCACTTTAGCTGACTGTGTCCAGCAGGTCAGCGGTTCAAATCTCACCGGCTCAAGGTTGACTCAGCCTTCCATCCTTCCGGGGTAGGTAAAATGAGGACCCAGATTGTTGGGGGCAATGTAAATATATATATGCATTGCTTACTGGTGTACACCGCTTAGAGAGTGCTTGCACTTAAAGCGGTATATAAGTCTCATAAATAAATAAATAAATAAATAAATAAATAAATAAATGTATAAGTGGTTGGGGGTCACCACAACATGGGGAACTGTATTATGGGGTCACGGCATTAGAAAGGTTGAGAACCACTGGTATAGGGTCTCCTACCTGAGCAGGGGGTTGGACTAGATGACCTCCAAAGTCCCTTCCGACTTGATGATGATGATGATGATGATGATGATGATGATGATGGTCTGGGGGGACCTGGGAGGCCTTCCCTTTCCCGGCCCAGGGAAGCTGAGGGTCCTCCAGGGGGAGGGGTCCCAGAAGACCAAATATGGAAGTTACTCTATTCCTTGGTGACCCAAGGACTGGCGTAGGAGGGGGGGCTGGGAGAGGCTGGTATCCTATGCAGGGAGAGGCACCCCACGTCCATTCCCCCCACCCCAGGATGGCCTCGCCTCTGGCGTGTGCTGAAGCTGTTCAGTAGAACCTCCCCATCTGGAGGCAGTCTACCTTAAGAGTCCTAAAATCTGAAGGCTAGAAGGGACCTTGGAGGTCTTCTAGCCCACCCTGTGCCAAAGGCAAGGGCGGGAATAAGGGAAGCCACCATGATGCTGCCCCACCCCGTGGGCTGCCCCCTTTGCAGGGGGAAAAAAGAGGGGCTCTCTGTGGCTGGTGTGGGAGGGGGACAGCGGTATCCAGTGCACGGAGAAGGGTCCCCCTCCCTCCGCACTCCTTGCAATGCCCTTAGTTGCCACCTGCCTCAGTAGAACTGCCCCATCCGGAGGCAGTCTATCTTACGACCCTAGACTCCTAGGACCGGAAGGGAACCTTTAAGGTCTTCTAATCCACCCCCCCCCCGTTCCAAACAAAGGAGGGAACACGGGGAGGGCTGAGCCATGAGGCCCCCCTTTTACAGAGAGAGAAAAAGGTGGGGGCACCCCTGTCTTAGCCTGCCCCCCCTTGCCAGCCCCCTGGCCATCAGCGGAACCTCCCCCCTCCGGAGGCAGTCTACCTGACCCAGTGGCCCTTCTGCAGGGGGAACCCAGAAGAGGGGCGAAGACCCCCTTCGCCCCCCCCACACGCAGCCCCTTTCTCTCCGCACTGGGGGCGGGCAGGGGGCGCTGCAGTGGGACCCCCCCCGGGCCAGGCGCCTGGAGGGGCACCAGCAAGTCAAACTCCGGCCGGCTGGTCCAGCACCCCCCCCCCACCGGACCCATCCCCCCCCAGCCCCCAGCCCCCCCCGCCGCCGCCGCAGTTGGAGGCTATATTAGGAAAGTCAGCTCTGCACCAGCGCCGCGCCTTCTATAGCCGGCCGCTGCAGAGCCGGGGCGGAGTTGCCGCGCCCGCTGCGCCTCGCGGGGTCCCCCGGAGAGGTCGCCCCCGGCCGGGCAGGGCAGGGGAAGCGCCCCCGTTGGCAAGCGGCCGGGTGGTCGTCGCCCACCCACCTACCCACCCATTTAAGGGGGGGGGAAGAAATCCCCGCGTCGTTGCGCTTTCCCACGAGCAGGTAAGCAAGCGCCGGCCGGGTGGGGAGAGAGGCTGGGGGCGCGGAGCCCCCCTGGAGACCCCCGCCCCAGTTTTCCCCCCCCTCTCTTCTCCCCCCTCCCCACCAACCCCGATTCTTGAGGAGGGGGGGAGGGGGAGAAACTCTGCCGGACTTTTTTGGGAATTGGGGGAGAGGTCTTGCGGGACCTCCCCATCCGTGCAAAGTGGGAGGGCGAACCCCCAATTTTCCCTCCCCCCCCCTTTGGGGCTTTGGCTGGATAGAAAGTGGGGGGGGAAGGGAGGGAGGCAGAAACTCTGCCGGACTTTTTTGGCCCGTGGGAATTGGGGTGAGATCTTGTGGGACCCCTGCGGCAGCCCCCCCCCCCGTCCGTGCAAAGTGGGAGGGCGAACCCCAATTTCCTCCCCCCCTTTGGGGCTTTTGCTGGATAGGAGGGGGGAGGGGGGAAGGGAGAGAGAAACTCTGCCGGGCTTTTCGGCCCGTGGGAATTGGGGTGAGGTCTTGTGGAACCCCCCCCCACCGTCCTCCCCCTTGCAAAGTCGGAGGGCAACCCCCCCCCAATTCTTCCAGCCTCTCAGCTTTTAGACTCGGGAGAGGAAAACAATCCCGGACTTTAGATCCGTGGGAATTAGGGTGATTCCCTTGGGACCCCTTCCACCCTCCCCCGTGCAAAGTCGGAGGGGGACCCCCCCCAATTTTCCCCCTCTTTGGAGCCTTTGCTGGATAAAGGGGTGGGGGGGGTGGGACGGGGAAACTTCTGACCCGGGAGAATTGGAGTAATTGGGAAAGTCCCCAACTTCAAAAGGGGGTAATTGTGTGAACCAAACCCAAGTAGCCCCCCCCTTTCCCTTCTCTGTCCCCCCCCCCACAAATACACCTGAAGGCTCATCTCTAAACAAACCAGCATCAAAGGAACGTTTAGCAATCTAGGTTTGGTTTCCAGTGGACTTCTTTGAAAAGGAAAGGTGAGTGGGGGGGGGGAGAAGATCCGTCAATTGGCATTATAAGAGTTTGGGAATGGAACCGCCATGTCCCAGCGCAGTCTATCAGGGAACGCCCAAAAAGGTAGGGGTCACCCCTTTTAAAGCAGCACCCTCCCCCCCAAAAACATCGTTCCCCCTGCCAATTCTGTTGAACTCGCCCTCCCCCCCGACGCCCCCTCCCCAAATAACTTCAGGTCTTGTTTTGAGCTTTCTTAGATTTTTGCCCGTTTGCGTGATTCGCACTCGGGGCTGGTCTCATAAGTTTCTCGGGCAAATGCTCCAACACTGGAAGTTTTTAAGAAGAGAATGGACAGCCAATTTGTCCAAAATGGTATAGGATTTCCTGCCTGAGCAGGGGGTTGGACTAGATGACCTCCAAGGTCCCTTCCATCATCATCATCATCATCATCATGATTATTATTATGGATCATCGCACAGTCAGCCAGATGTTCAGACTGGAGTTGGCATTTTGTCTACCTATGGAGTCCTTACCCAGGATCTGGGATAGGCAGATGTGGATGTTTGATGGTATTACGGATATCATTATTATTATTATTATTATTATTATTAAAGCTACTGAGCAATTTTTGGTAAAAAAAAATCCATACAGTTCGAAGTTTTGGGCTCAAGAGTAACCAAGTTGAAGAGGACCTTAAGAGGTCTTCTAGTCCAACCCCCTGTTCAAGCCCAGAGGTGACCCCGAGCCTTTCCGTCCTCCTTAAAAAAAAAGTGGAGTATTGTGTTGTGGCCTTATGGGGCACTGTAAATCCCAGTTCCTAGTCTTGGGAAGGTCAGACTAGATGACCTCCCCCCCAAGGTCACTTCTTGACTCCTATTTTCTCAGATGACTGTCTAGGCCCGGTTGCCACCCACTGAAAAGCTATCCAGGTCGTCCTCGGCTTACGGCCATGACTGACCCCAAAATTTCTGTCGTTCAGCGAGGCAGCTAAGCGAGTTTGGCTCCGTTTTACGACCTTTCTTCCACGGTTGTTAAGTGAAACGGCGCCGTTGTTAGCAACACAGTCGTTAAGCGAATCTGGCTTCTGAATTGGCTTTGCTCGCAAAAGGAGATCACATGACATACACATACACACACCCCGGGATGCTGTGACCGTCACAAATAGGAGTCGGTTGCTGAGTGTCCGAATTTTGATCACGTGACCACGGGGGATTGCTGTGAGGGTCATTAAGTCTGAAAAATGGTAATAAGTCATTTTTTTTTCCAGCACGGCTGTTGCTTCAGTCACTAAATGAACGGCTGTAAGTAGAAGACCACCTGTATTTGTGGGGTGCCCAGCACAGTGGCCCCATTTAGAATCCGGTGCCTGGCAGAGGGAGATTTATACAAGGAATCTCCTTTAAAAACATTTTAATATCTGAGCTGGAGTTTTTTGGGGGGGGGGGTTGGTAGAGGTTCTAGCTTAGCAAGGACGAAAAAAATTAGGGGTAACCCAACAAAATTGCCCCGGGAGGAATGAGAAGAAGCAGGCACGCTGTGGAACGTGCCAAACGCAGAACAACAAAATTAATCCTGCGGAACTCACTGCCACGTGATGGAGTGGCGGGCAGCAGACTGCATACTTTGCAAGGATATGGGAGATTCCAGAGAGGGGATGATCACAGCTCCCACCCAGGGTCCGAGCAAGGGGAGGCTTTGAGCTCCTGGCCTTTGATGCCCTTCCCAATCGGGCATCCGATAAGCCCTTTTGATTGATTGGTTGTAAACGTTGCATATCCTTTTTCCGAGCCAGGATTTTCCGAGCCATCTCTTTGGCCAGGATTGGGGCAGGATGGTGGATGAACTTTTTTAAAACTCCTGCTGGCTTCTTGTGATCTTCAGCTCCGAGGGTCCGACCTGTGCCCAATTGGCAGTTGGCCCAAATCATTGTCGGTTTAATAGAATAGAATAGAATAAAATTTGGAATAGAATAGAATAAAATAGAATAGAATATGGAAAGAATAGAATAGAATTTGGAATAGAATAGAACAAAATAAAATAGAATATGGAAAGAATAGAATAGGATAGGATAGGATAGGATAGGATAGGATAGGATAGGATAGGATAGGATAGGATAGGATAGGATAGAATTTGGAATGGAATAGAATAAAATAGAATAGAATATGGAAAGAATAGAATAGAATTTGGAATAGAATAGAACAAAATAAAATAGAATATGGAAAGAATAGAATAGAATGGAATGGAATGGAGTGGAGTGGAATGGAGAGAGGAGTGGAGTGGAGTAGAGTAGAATATGAATAGAATAGAATAGAATAGAATAGAATTTGGAATGGAATAGAATAAAATAGAATAGAATATGGAAAGAATAGAATGGAATGGAGTGGAGTGGAGTGGAATGGAGAGTGGAGTGGAGTGGAGTAGAATATGAATAGAATATGAATAGAAAATGAATAGAACAGAATAGAATAGAACAGAACAGAAAAAAATAGAAAAGAATAGAATACAGAATGGATATATAGAGTAGAGTAGAGTAGAGTAGAATAGAATAGAATAGAATAGAATAGAATAGAAACAGAACAGAATAGAAAATGATTAGATTAGATTAGATTAGATTAGGTTAGATTTCAGACAAATATTGTCCAGTCTCTTCTTAAAAACTTCCAGTTTTGGAGCATTCACAACTTCTGGAGGCAGGTGGTTCCCCTGATTAATTGCATAACCACTGATGGATTTACCGCAGGGACGTCCCACCTTGGCAACTTTAAAACCTGTGGACTTCAGCTCCCAGAATTCACCCAGCCAGCATGGGGGATTCTGGGAGTTGAAGTCCATAGGTCTTAAAAGTTGCCGTCGGTGGCCAGCCCTGACTGAATGGCGGGATTCCCACCGCAATGAAAACGCGGAGATTAATCATCCTTTTAATCTGGAACTCACCTGCTGGGGAAGAATAGAGCAGGGTCCCCCCCCCCAAAAAAGGAAAAAAAAACAGAAGGAAAAGCTTGAGAGAAAAAAAGGAGGCCGATGGAGGAGGAAAACCGCAGCCTTGGAGACTGGGAAGGAAAGGTGAAAGGAGAGCAAATTTCATCCGCTTGCCATTCTCTGTTGTGACGTCCAAGGTCTGGGGACGGCTGTGGACCAATTCCCTGGCTGACATTGTCTCTTTCCGCCCCCCCCCTTAACCCCTACCCCAGGTCCCCCGCCATGAGTCGTCGGGTGGTTCGCCAAAGCAAGTTCCGGCATGTCTTCGGACAGCCAGTCAAGGCCGACCAGATGTACGAGGACATTCGCGTCTCCAAAGTGACCTGGGACAGTTCCTTCTGCGCTGTCAACCCCAAGTTCCTGGCCATCATTGTGGAATCGGGAGGAGGTGGTGCCTTTATGGTCCTCCCCTTGAGCAAGGTAAGTGGCCATCTTAGGGAGGCGGGAGCCATGGGGAGGAGCAGCTTTTGACTTCCGCACTCAAGGTACTTCCGTAACGATTCACAACAGCCCTGCGAGGGAGAGAATTCCCTTGGCCTATATAAGCAATGCAGAAGCCAGCCCATCGCAAAAGGCAAAACCAGCAATCGAGCCTTCTGCGAGGGCATCTTGGCAATTTCCCTGGCAGGCTCTGTGGATTGCTACAATCCGGGCCTGCTTCATTCGCACTCGGGGCCCGGTGGCTACAAGGCTACAGTACAGGGCTACAGTACAGGCCTGAACGAGTGAAATGAACCCCCTCAAACCATGCTAAAAACAAACACGATTTGACTTCTGAGATGATCCATAGCCACCTTTGGAGAAGGACGCAGAGAAAGGGAGGAAGGAGAGTATGAAAGATAAGATAAGATAAGATAACCTTTTTTGTCATTTTTTAGGACGCAGAGAAAGGGATGAAGGAGAGTATGAAAGATATTCAAAGGGATGAGAAATTAAGGCTAAGAGGAGGAAAGGAAAGAATCGAGCTGGATGCATTTAATCTTGGGAAAAGGTGATGGAAGAGGAGATGTAAGGACTTGATCAACAGCTGATGGACGTCAACAGAAGAAGGTTGAGTCATGTCTTTGTCTGGCTCCAGAGTTCAAGATGAGGGTTAATGGATTGGATTAAGATAATGTTTCTCAAACTCAGCAACTTGACGATGGGTTAGCTAACCAGATTCGATTTTTGATTCTGGACAAGCAATGTAGTTTTGTGGTCTCTTTTCTGGAGAAGTTTGAAGGTACCCAAAGGGTTCAACCAAACCCAAGTCAATCTTTTGGGCCTTCCACCTGCTTGCTTACTTCCGGAAGTTCTTGGTGACTTTGCTTCTCTCTTGTGGTCTGTTGACAAATTTTTCTCTGTGGGCTTCAGTGGGAAAAGGTATCTCTGGGATGGTGGAAGATGGGCCACTTTGCCCATCTTTTCTAGAGAAGCTTGACATGCTGCTTGGGGGGCAGGAATGTGGGTGAAAAGCTGGAGAGATGTCTCCTCAACCTCTGCTTCCAGGCCTGGCATGTTCCGGGGTGTTCATTTGGATGTTCTTCCTAATCCGATGTTTCTCGACCTCAGCAACTTGACGATGGGTGAACTTCAACTCCCAGAATTCTGGGAGTTGAAGTCTCCTCCACCCCCATCGTCAAATCGCTGAGGTCGAGAAACATTATCTTAATCCAATCCATTATCCCACATCTTGAACTCTGGAGCCAGAGGAGACAAAGAAATGACTCAACCTTCTTCTGTTGACGTCGATCAGCTGTTGATCCAATCCTTTCATCTCCTCTTCCATCATCTTTTCACAAGATTAAATACACCCAGCTCGATTCCTTCTGTTCCTCCTCTTAGCCTTAATTTCTCACCCCTTTGAATATCCTTAATACTCTCCTTCATCCCTTTCTCTGCATCCTTCTCCAAAGGTGGCTGTTGATCATCTTAGAAGTCAAATCGTGTTTGTTTTTAGCATGGTTTCAGGGGTTCATTTCACTCGTTCAGGCCTGTACTGTAGCCTTGTAGCCGGTGACCAAGTCCTTCCATCTCCCATCATCAAGGGTAGATGCACCCAGCTCGACTCCTTCCATTTGTCTGCCTAGCCTTAATTTCTCATCTCCGGAACATCCTTGGTACTCTCCTTCATCCCTTTCTCTGCATCCCTCTCAAAAGTTGGCTCTTGAGACGAGGGTGAACCAAATGGAAAAATGGACGATGACGTTATCCATTCAGTCGTATCCGATTCTTGGTGTGGGCCAGGTCTCTCCCCATTTTCTGACCTTGCGCTGCGTTTTTGAGTAAACGGAGCAATTGTCTCCTCTGGTTTGGAGACGGGATGGAAAACTCCCCAAATTGAGAGAATCCAGTCATTTCTTTCCTTCAAAAATTGTCAGGAGCCCACTTTGCACGGAGCGGAACGAAAGAGAAAGACTCGCTTAGAAAATGACGCGGAGGGGGTTTGAGTGTGCATGCGCGCCCGTATATAACGGACTGCAGTCAGGAGCGAGAAATTGGTTCCCAACCGATCGGGAAATGGAGGAACAGCGAGCAGAAGCGGCATCCCTGGAAGGGAGAGGAGATGCTGCAGTTGAAATGTGGATTTGTTCCTTTGACGCACAAAGGTGCCAGATCTCAGTGTTATGTTCACAAGCTGATCCCTGCCAAAAAAAAAAAAGCAGGGCTAAGAGAGCGGAACAGAACACAACAGAACAGAATGTCACAGTTGGGAGGGACCCTGAAGGTCTTCTACTCCAGAGGCCCCCAACATTTTGGGCAACAGGGACCACCGGTTACATGGAGAGAGGTTATTCCGTGGACTGGAGGGTGCGTGGTTTTGCGTGCTGCCTGCATCCCGCGGATGGGGCTTCCCTTGTTTGTGCGGACCGGTTGCTGGAATGTCATGGCCTGGTACCGCTCCGCGGCCTGGGGGTTGGGGACCCGTGTTCTAGTCCGACCCCTTGCTCAAGCAGGAGACACTATGCCAGTGATGGCGAACCTTTTAGAGACCGAGTGCCCAACCCGCAACCCAAAACCCACTTATTCATTGCAAAGTGCCAGGGCCTCATTAGCATTGCGGTGCCTCGGGGGGCGGGGCAGGGAGGCGCCTCTGAGTGCTGCCTCTGGCACGCAAAAACCGGGGTCGCAAAAATGGGCCACCGTGCTGCAAGGCGCAAAAACGGCCACCGCCGTGCCGCGGGGTGCAGATATAAGGCGCTGCACCACGCAAGAACGGGACAGGGCTAGTGAGTATCACGCAGACACTAGCCCCGCCCCATTTTCAGCAGGTGCTTGCTTGCGGCCCCGTGCGTGCATGCACGCATGTAAAATGCTTCCCCCTCCCTTTTCTTCCAGTCCACCAATCGACAATGGTTGTTGACCTCTGCTCTACCACGTCTACTTGAGCTTGCAAGTCGGCCGCTTTGTCTCCTTTGTGCTGCTCCGGGCGGCTGATGGACCTGCTGCTGGCAGCAGTGGCACCCATGCCAACAGAGAGGGCTCTGAGTGCCGCTTCTGGCACGTGTGCCATAGGTTCGCCACCACTGCCCTATGCCATTTCAGACAAATGGTTGTCCAATCTCTTCTTAAAAAGGAGGAGGAGGAGGAGGAGGAGGAGGAGGAGGAGGAAAGACTGTGGGGTCCTGGGTATTCTCTAAGCTTGGTGGTTCTCTCGCAGACATTTCATGACCCAACTAGGTAATAGCATCAGTGCTAGAAAGGAGGGGAGTTGAAAGAAAGAGAGAGAGAGAGAGAGAGAGAGAGAGAGAGAGGAGGAGGAGGAGAATAGAGTTGGAAGGGACCTTGGAGGTCTTCTAGTCCAACCCCCTGGTTTATACCACTTTCAGACAAAGGGCTGTCCAGTCTCTTCTTGAAAACCTCCCGTGATGGAGCAGCCACAACTTCTGGAGGCAAGGAGTTCCACTGGTTGAATCAGCATTTTGAATCAACGTTTTGGAAATGTGGTTACTGTTTAAAATTCCGGGGAAATTCAGGGTGATTCAAAACAGGAAGGCAGTCCTCTAGGTACGACGCGACTGAGATCGGAAATTCCGTTGCCAAGCAAGGCGATCGCTAAGTGAGCCATGCCTGGTTTTTACGACCTTCTTTGCCACGGCTGTTTAGCAAATCCCTGCAGTTGTTTAGTGGGTCGCCCGGTCGTTAAGCGGATCCAACTTCTCTGCAGTGAATTTGCTCATGGGAAGCCGTTGGGAAGGTCACGAATAGTGACCACCTGGCCCCAGGATGGTGTGACCGTCGTAAGTATGCGCCAATTGCTGAGCGCCCAAATTTTGATCACGTGACCCTGGGGGATGCTGCGATTTTTCTAAGGGCTGGTCGTGCTTTTTTCAGTGCTTTGTCACTTGGAATGGTCGCTAAACAAATATGAATATGAATATTATTGATATTAATATCGATTAATATTATTATTAATAATATTATTAATATTGATGTCGATATTAGTAGTAAAAATAATGTCTGAAATGGTATATTTGTCTGAAATGGTATAGGGCAGTGGTTCTCAACCTGTGGGTCGGGATCCCATTTGGGGTCGAATGACCATTTCACGGGGGTCGCCAAGCAAGGCTGTCCGCCATTTTCCCCCCTTTTCTTTGGCCACGCCCCTGGCACCCGGTGATGTATAAGTGGTTGGGGGGTCACCACAACATGGGGAACTGTATTATGGGGTCGCGGCATTAGAAAGGTTGAGAACCACTGGTATAGGGTTACCTGCCAACGGGGTTGGACTTGATGACCTCCAAGGTCCCTTCCAACATTATTATTATTATTATTATTATCATTCATCGCACAGTCAGCCAGATGTTCAGCCTGGATTTGGCATTTTGTCTACCTATCGAGTCCTTACCCAGGACCTGGGATAGGCAGATGTGGATGTTTGATGGTATTACAGGTATCGTCGCAGGATGGAAGCAGTTCCTAATAAGGCCGCCTTTTGCAATTGACTAATAGCAAATTTGTCAATGCCAATGGTGTTCAAGTGGTGCTCCAGTTGTTTTGGGATTGCACCCAAGGAGCCTATGACTATTGGTACTACCCTTGCTTGCTTTTGCCACAGTCTTTCTATTTCTATTTGTAGGTCTTTGTATTTTGTTATCTTCTCCAGTTCTTTCTCTTCTATTCTGCTATCTCCAGGCACTGCCACGTCCACTATCCAGACTTTTTTGTCTTTCTTATCGACAATTGTTAAGTCTGGGGTGTTATGTTGCAGGTGCTTGTCTGTTTGAATTCTGAAGTCCCAGAGCAGTTTAATTTTATCATTTTCTATGACTTTCTCTATTTTATGATCCCACCAGTTTTTGCTTACAGGCAAATGATATTTTTTGCAGATCTTCCAATGCACCATTGTTGCTACTTTGTCATGCCGCTGCTTGTAATCAGTCTGTGCAATCTTCTTGCAACAGCTTACCAAGTGGTCCACTGTTTCTTCAGCTTCTTTG